CCTTCCAAGTAGCCGGAATTACAGGCATGCGCTACCACGCCCGGCTGATTTTTTGATTTATTGTAGAGATGAAGTCTCGCTGCCCAGGTGGGTCTCGAACCCGCGGGCTCCGGCAATCCACTCACCTCAGCCTCCCAAAGGCGCGGGATTACAGGCTGAGCCACCAAGCCCGGCTCATATATCTTTTTTATAGAGTGATTTGAGTTCTTCAGGTTATATTCTCAGTAGGGGGATTGCGGGGTCATATGGGAGGTTGATATTTAGAGCTTTTAGGAATCGCCACACTGCTTTCCACAGAGGTTGCACTAGTTTACACTCCCAGCAACAGTGTAGAAGTGTTCCCTTTTTGCCACTCCCTCTCCAGCAACTGTTATTTTTTGAGTTATTTATAATTGCCATTCTAACTGGAGTTAGGTGGTATCTCAGTGTGGTTTTGATTTGCATCTCCCTGATGATTAGTGAAGTGGAACATTTCTTCATGTGTCTGTTGGCTGCTCAGATGTCTTCCTTTGTGTCTCTTCGTATCTTTTGCCCATTTTATAATGGGATTGTTTGTTTTTTTTCTTTTCAGCACGTTTGAGTTCCTTGTAGATCGAAGATGTTAAACCTTTGTCAGAACTGGAGTTGGCAAATACTTTTTCCCAGTCTGTAGGTTGTCTCCCTGCTCTCTTGATGGTTTCTTTGGCTTTGCAGAAGCTTGTCAGTTTAATGAGGTCCCACTTGTCTATCTTATCTCTTATGACCTGTGGGTTTCAGGTTTTGTTCAGGAATTGGATGCCAGTTCCAATTTCCATGAGGATATTTCCTTCATTTTCTAAGGTTCTTATGGTTTGAGGTTTTACATTTAGGTCTCTGTTCCATTTGGAGTTAATTTTTGTGTGTGGGGATAGATAGGGGTCCTGTTTTAATCTTCTGCATGTGGTCAGCCCATTTTCCATTTACTGAATAGGTTCTCCTCTCCCCAGTGGTAGGTGGTGGAGGCTTTGTCGAAGATGAGTTGGTTGAGAAATTGAGGTTTTGCTTCTGGAATCTCAGTTCTATTCCATTGATCTATATGCCTGTTCCTATACCAATACCTTGATGATTGTAGCTTCATAGTAAAGTTTGAAGTCTGGTAATGTGATACCACCTGCTTTGGTTTTTTTTGCCGAGAATTGTTCTGGCTATTCTTGGTCATTTGTGTTTCCATATGAATTCCTGTGTTGTTTTTTCTAGATCTGAGAAGAATGTTGCTGGCAATTTGATG